ACAACAACAACAAAAGTGTAAAGGGTTGGCTTGGGCGACCGTTGGTAAATTACTTGTACCCCAACAAGAACAAGGGCCTGAGTTCAGATCCCAGAATTCGTGTGCAGAAAAAGGTGGGGACTACGGTGTCACATTGCCTGTAATTCTAATGTTAGAGAAAATAAGGAAGAGAATCCATGGATGTACTGGCCAGTCTAGTCACATCAGTGAGCTGCAAGTGGGTTCACTGTTGCTGATACGTCCATTTATCTTCTTGCAAAAAACATCAGGATACAGTACTCATTCATTCCAGTTAAAATACATGAGACAAGAACTCAACCCAAGGCTCTTTCAGGGATCGGGTGTGTGGCCAGTGGCTGGAAGTTTCTTAGTCACAGGACCCACCAAAAAAATAGTCCTCCCACTACAAGATATATAATGAATGTTTATAAAGCTTGTAAACAAGTGTGCAGCTTTTGGTGCTGGTATACAGGTCAGAAGACTCAGCTCATCACAGGAGACAAGGGTTCCCTTCTCTGAAGGCATAAAGACATACAAAACTCCTGTTTCTCAGTCTCGAAATAAAGAGGCTACAGACATTGGAATGTGTTATCTATGTTATATCAAGGTCATCATGGGCCTTTGCTATAGAAGAAATGAGAAAGCCAAGAGTATGGTAATTCCACAGCCCAAATCTCAAATTTTGAGTCAATAAGAGATTCTCACTGCACCTAAAAATGCAAGAAAAGATAATGGGGAAAACTTACCCTATAACTCCAAATACTTAGGAGAGCTTATAACTACATATATTAGCCAAAGGTATTTTTTAAAAGTTTATTAGTTCTTTAGTGTGATATTTTGAAGCTTTGGTATAGGTTCAAATGATTTCTTCAATCTTAATAAAGTTAATTCTACAGATAGCCTTACAAATTATTGCACTTATTAAGTTTAAAGATTTTAATCATGATTAAGTCTAGTGGCACAGACCTTTAATCCCAGTACTAGGGAGACTAAGTCAGATGGATTTCTGTGAGCTTAAGACCACCCTGTTCTACACAACAAGTTCCAAGTCCCTACATACTGAGACCCAAATAATAATAATAATAATAATAATAATAATAATAATAATAATTTAAACATTCACTTTCTGGGTGGTACAAAAATCAGAATGAGTTTTAGAACAAATTTCCATTCACTTAATTTGAAGAGATTTTTTCAAGATTTAATAAAATAAAATAAATACATGTATATATACATATATAGATATATTTATCTCCTGATGGGATATGCCATTCTGTAAATCTGTCTCTTATTGGTTGTTGAATAAAGCACTGTTGGCCAATAGGGAAGCAAGGTAAGTGGGACTAGGAGTTGAGGAGGATTCTGGGAAAGAGAAACACAGGGAGTCACCATGTAGCCTCCAGAGAAGTAAGAAGTCCAGACCCCTTTCTCCAGTAAGAGAAATACTTAGATTAACAATTATGAATTAAATACTTAAGTCAAAGATAGCCAGTAAGAAACAAGCAAGGCCAACAGCTTCATAATTAATACAGCGTCTTGTGTGTTATTTGGGGACTACAATGCGGCAGAGCCCAGGCGCCTGATGGGGAAAAACCAAAGCGGCTGGCAAGGAAAAGGCTTCACCCTTCTATCTCCATTACAGAATTTCCTTATGTAGAAAGTCTATTCCTATTTTACACAGCAAGTCCACAAAGGCTGAACATGAGAGAGAGAAAGGAGAGAGACAGAGAGAGACAGAGAGAGGGAGAGAGGGAAAGAAAAAGAAAGGAATATATACAGTTAAATGTAAGCTATTATATTGCTCTAAAAGCTCTTGAATTTTATGTTCATAGGACTTTACTGGATTACACTAAAGTATTCAAATTATCTCATGAATCAAATTGCAACCTAAAGTCCAAAAAGAGAAAAAGTCAAAAGTAACAAGTCCAGAGGATCTAAATGTAGAGACAATGATCTACACAGATGTGACTATCATAGTAAACAGCAAATATATAAATGCGTTACTAATGAAGTTTCTAAATGTCAAAAATGATTCTGAGTGTCCAACGATGCAATCTTCAGTTTATCTAACGCGACTCAGTCACCTGCACATCCTACAGTCTTTTAATTACAATGGATGACAGACATGTTAGGACAGTTTATTGTAACCCTGTTGGTCATAGTCACACTAAATCACTAGAAATCTCTTTCTCTAAGAAACCTCTGCTAAAACACAATGTTGGGGAAGTCCTGTGCATTTGTCAATAAAGCACTGTCTGGCCAATAGGGAATCTAGATAGGAGGGACTAGGAGTCCAGAAGGACTCTGGGTAGGAGAAACACAAGAGAGCAAGATGTAACGCCATGGGGTAGGAAGCCCGGAAACTTCTCCGGTAAGAGAAATACTTAGATTAACAATTATGGGGTAAATACTTAAGTCAGAGCTAGCCAGTAAGAAACAAACAAGGCCAACAGCTTCATAATGAATATAGTCTCCTGTGTGTTTATTTGGGACTGATGTGGCTCTAGAACCAGGCTGGCGGGAAGGCTCCTCTCAAAGAAAAAGCTTCTCTTTACAACACAATACTTGAATAATGCTTTCAGATCACTGCCAATTAAGCAATCAACAGATGTTAGAAAAGTGAGGCTCAGTGCAGCCTACAATCCCACGGCCAGAGTCTGGGAAACAGAACCTTCAACCAATGACTGATGCAAGCAGAGGCAGACACCCACAGCTAAACACTGAGTTGAACTCAAGGAACCCAGTGACAGAGAGGGAGGACTGATGAGCAAAGGGATTAAGACTGGGCTGGTTTAACCCCCAGAAACAGCTGACCTGACAAGGGTTAGCACTTGAATCCCAGACTGATGGCTGGGAATCCAGTATGGGACTGATACAGACCCCCTGAATGTGGGTGTCAGTGAGGAGGCCTAGGAAATCTATGGGGCCTTGGGTAGTAGATCAGTATTTACCCCTGGCATACAAATGGACTTTGGGTGCCCATCCCACAATGAGAGATGCACTCTCACCCTGGACTTTTGGGGGGAGGACCTAGGCCCTGCCCTGGATGAAATGACAGACTATGGACATCCCCATGGAGGGTCTCACCCTCCCTGGGGAAAGGAGGGGGGGCTGGGAGGAGGGGGTTGGTGGGAGGAGGGGAGGGAAAGGGAGAGGGACCTAGGATTGACATGTGAAGCAACCTTGTTTCTAATTTAATTTTTTTTAAATGTAGAAATTAGGAAAAAAGGTGAGGCTCGGTGAACATTACAAATAAGCCATGCCTTCCTAGCAAAGCACACTCAGACAACTCTTGGTGATATTTCAATACTAACTTTTCCATACGAATGCCGTCCGGTACCTGCTTTCTCACCCTGATTTCCCAAGGCTTCCCTCCCAGGAAGCTCCATTGGAGTGGACTCTTCGGTTGTACTCACTCTTGGCATTTCTTAACTGTATTACAAACTACTAATCACAACTTAAAACATGGAAATAGCTTTAAATATCATTAAAATGCCATCTAATTTATAATGACTTTTGTTAAAATGTAATTTTAATCACTAGCATAAATCTGAGTATTACTCTCCAGGGGTACAAAATGCTAAATAATTTGTCCAAATGTCAAATGCAATTTTCAAAATTCTTTCTTGCCAAAGTTTTAAACACTTATAAAAAACACTTGTTTTGAGAGTTTACATTCCATGACATTTGACCTCTTGTTGTACACACCACAAAATTCAAATTCCAAATGCCATGCAAGGAGGAAATCTGATCACCCCTGCAGGAGCCATCTGCACGGCCCAATATCAAATATTAGTTCTAGATTATACTAAGTCATGTGTTACAAATCTGATTCCACAGCCCCTGTAATTAGTTGAAATCTGTCTCTTTTAAAATGTGTTTTTTTTTTTATAGGACATCTGGCCTTGGAACTTCTACCTACTGAAAAAATACTTAGTGTCTGGGTAATTTTCCTTCTTTTAATGTAGAACACCACATGGGTGGTATAACCAAGTCCAGATTTTTTTTAAACTTAAATTCAAGTAACAGATGATGGTTAAGGACTATTAATTGCCAAATATAAGTATAATAGGAAACTAGGTTGCAATATAACTACAGATACATTAATAAATCTCAAATGCTAAAAGTTTACAAAATAAAAATTTTTAAGAATGTATCACTGGTCTATTTATTTCCCAGAATAACATTATTTAAGTGAAAATGAGTAATATAGATTTAGAATCAAAAGTCACATAAACACATAAAGCCAAAAAAAAGTATAGAAGCCTAATGAGTTACTCTAACAAGGTATCTACTTCAAATAGGAAATTATTTTATTAGCTCTTAAATAACCCTAATTTCACAGAAATTAAAGTTTTATCTAAGATACTCTCAACTGTCTTATAGTAACAGTGTATCTAAGATACACTCAACTCTCTTATAGCAACAGTGTATCCATTTAAGACATACTAATCTGTCTTATAGTAACAATGTATCTACTTAAAACACAACAGCCTGTCTTGTAGTAGCAATGTATCTATTTAAGATATACTAGCCTATCTTTTAGTAACAATGTATCTATTTAAGATTACCTAAACTGTCTTACAGCTTTCAGGAAGAATGACATTTCAATCATATTTGTCAATTCTCTTACGACCGGAAAGCAATCAGGCAATGACGGAGCAAGACACCCAGGTATAGTCCTAGCACAAGGTCTACAAAGCAAGAGCTTGTCTCAGAGAATCAAGTAAATACAGACCAAGTGTGCTGAGGACACCGGTAATGACAACTCCTCATAATCCGTAGCAGGGCTACAACTGACTAAACAAAATGTATATAAAAACACCTTTTAGATGCTTTATCAAAATTTAAAAACAGCTCTTTATAAATAACTATGTTACTTTAATGGACATGTAAAAAGTAAGTATATAAGATCCATGTGACTGCTGACATACCTAAAAGCAAGTAACATTACTGTGGAAAGTGTTTAACATTAACAGCTAGGTTCAGCAGTTTCTTACCTGGATTCCATCTTTAAGTTTCAAGATGCATTCCATTGTATTGATTGTAATTACCACAGGCTCGGAGCCCAGTTTTGTCCATGGTACATGAATCCTCAGTTCATGAATATGGCCACTTAAAAAAGTGAATGGCAATTTCAGTTCCTTAAAACACAAAACATTAAATAAAAGTTAGTAAATACTTAAATGTTCTTATTCTCATACCTAAGTTCCTTTCTTAAAGGAAAAGAAATTTATCAAAAAAATCGGGGCAATACTGCTTATCAAAAATTAGAATCAACAGTCCAGCAGTGGTGGCACACACCTTTCATCACAGCACTCAGGAGGCAGAGGCAGGCGGATCTCTGTGAGTTCGAGGCCAGCCTGCTCTACAGATAGAGTTCCACATAAGGAGACCCTGTCTCAAAAATAGCAACAACAACAAAAAAGTTAAACTATAGGGAATAATAATAAACTACAAAAAATGTGCTATACAACTTACATTTAAAAAGTTATTTAAATTCTCCAGGCTTCAGTTTCCTAATCTGCCAAATAGGAACAGCCTACCGTCTGTATACATGCTACAGGTTTGTAAAGGCTGGCGTAGGAGCAATCACAAAAGTAGGGCAGCAAGACCTGGGCCATCCACCACAGTACTTTTTCCTATACGTCTCACAAAATGCCTCTAAACATGTTCCTAAAACAAGATGAAAAGGAGACAGGAGATTGGCCTGATGAAACAGAGACTGAACAACCTACTGTGCTGCACCCAGCTAAATATTTAACCTAGCCATGACATAGTCATCAACTTGAAATGCTTCCAATTGCATTTCATTACTATTAGGCAAAGGTTTTAAAAAGATACATTAAACCTAAATTTGCCCAAAATCACTTCATACTAATCTCACAACAAAAGTGTATTTTAAAAAATGAATAAAGGAGCCACACATGGGGTGCACACCTTTAATCCAAGCACTTGGGCAGAAATAAGCACTTTTCTGTGAGTTTGAGGCCAGTCAGGTCCACATAGTGAGATTATGTCCCAAAAAGAACAGAGACTTCTCCACAGACAATGTACAAATGCCAACAAGCATATGAGAAGATTGTCAACACTCACAGCATTAAGAATTCAAACTAAGCCACTGAGCTCTGATCCCTTACTTACTAATATGTACACTTTTAAAATTTGACTGAAGATGCACAAATCAATAAGGAATAAATAATAGATTCATCGCTAGCAGAATATTTAAAGAAGTTGTTCAAAGTAATGCCGGATTGTAGAGAGAATCCACACCCAGAAACAAAAGGCAGGCAGGTGGCTATAACTGGGCAGCAGGGGTACTCTTCCCTCCTTCCTTCTTCCAGTGATGACAGCAATTACAGAGGAAGATGCTGTGCTAAACTGAAACACACATGCCTAGAGACGTGGAGAGGTTCGCCCAACTTTCAAGACTCGGGAGTCTCGGAGCAGACTCACAAGACTCCTCCCCCTCGATGTGTCAGCAGTGACAGTGGGGCTCGGAAGAGACTCCTCGGTGACTGAGCCACCACCTGCCAGCCGTGCAGAGGGCTCCAGGGATGCAACCTTGGGGAACGCATCACCTGTGCTGGCTGAACATTTCAATGATGCATCCGTCTTTCCCTCGCCCATTATAATCTCAGTCATTGGTTCTCAACCTTCCTAAAGTTGCAACCCTTTAACACAGTTGGTGTTATGATGACCCTGACCATAAAGTTATTTTCGTTGCAGCGGTACCTCAGAACTAACTTTGCTGTTATGAACTGTAATGTAAATATCTGATACCCAGGATGTCTGATGTGCAACTGCTAAGACAGGGTCATTCTTCAAGTCTTGAAGGTGACAAACACTGTTCTAAATAAACCCCCACCTCACCCATGCTCCTGTAGGCAACTACAGGAAACTCACTAGCTCACCAAGCTGGACTTGGACGCAGCTGTTTCTTTGTTTGGTCATTAGTACGATACCTCAAGTAAACTGGCATTGTTCATGCTTCCCCCAAAAACTAACAAAGCAGGGAGGAAAGGACTTATTGAAGAGGAAAGTGAATTATAGTGACTTGTTTGGCCATTTTCTTTTTAAGTGGAGACATTTCCTCCTAGAGGGAAGAGGGAGACTTAAGGTCCACAAAGAAATCAAGTGTGGCTTAGTTAGAAGGCCCTTACTGCTGGATGGCTAGCCACCCCCTCTCCCAGGTTAGTAATGAGCAATTGCTGGAGAGAGGAGAGACTTCTGGATAGAGCACCTTGAAAATCATGCATGCTCCAGGGATGCAGCAAACGTGAGTTGTCACCCATGCTAAGGTAGGGTTCTCAGTGGTGCAGTGCCTTGGAGGCACCTGTGCTCCTGTAACCAACCCCGATGGCCTGGCTAGCTCCCCACAGCAGACTTAGCAGAACCATTCTCGGGTCTGTTGTCGGTGTCTAAGGTAAATGGAAGCCTGCTCACATCACCCCCAGAAAAAGGCACACAACAAAATGCAGTGGCCATTCTCATTAACCTCAAGGTGCGGTAAGTCACCTGTATATTGTAATCCTGTGAACAGGCAACTAAGACAATCACTCAAAAATAACTCCAGAGTCAAAAAATTAAGGAGATTAGAAAATCTCTACTAAATAAAAAATGGCAGTAGCACACCAGAAGAAGAAAAAAATGACATCAGACACTGAAAGGACTTTGAAAATGAAAGAAGAAAATCCAACCGTATAAATATAAGCACTGAACATAAATGAATTAGATACTATAATCAAAAGGCAAAGACTGTTAGACAATTTAAAAATATAAGAGATTTCAATATGTACTCTCAACAAAAGAAACATTCAGATATGACAATATAAATGTAATGAAAAGTAAGAAGAAACAAATATATTTTCCTAGTTTGTTTTCTATTGCTGTGATAAAACATTGACCAAAAGCAACTTGGAAAGGAAAGGTTTATTTGGCATACAGGTTACAGTACATCATCAAAAGAAGCCAAGGCAGGAAGTCAAAGCAGAATCCTGGAGGCAGGAACTAAAGCAGAGACCATAAGGAAATGCTGCTTACTGACATCCTTCCCCTGGTTTGCTCAAGTCCTAGTTTTCCTGGAACTAGCTCTGTGTACCAGGTTGGCCTTGAACTCACAACAATCCACCTGACTCTGCCTCCCAAGGCATGGGTCACCACATTTTGTTTTGTTTTGCTGTTTTGTTTTGTTTTGTTTTTCAACATAGGGTTTCTCTGTGTAGCTTTGAAGCCTGTCCTGGCACTTGCTCTGTCGACCAGGCTGGCCTAGAACTCACAGAGATCCACCTGCCTTTGCTTCTTGAGTGCTGGGATTAAAGGTGTGCACAACTACCTTTTCTTATGCAGCCAGACCCACCTGCCTAGGGATGGCACCATCCACAGTAGGCTGGGCCTTTCTACAGCAGGAAGCAATTAAGAAAATGCCCCCACAGGCAAGTCTGATGAAGGTAGCTCCTGCCCGAGCTTCCCTCGCCCCAGGTTTGTCAAGTGAACAACGTCAGCCATCACACATCTCTATTAACTACAGAACACTAAAGTCAATTACACTGTTATGAGATAAGACAGACATCCTAGGGGATCCAGAAAAAAAAGTTACTTAAGATCAGAAGAGTTGGAGATCCTCCTGGACTGCATGAAACCCTACCTGAAACATGAAAGTCTAATAGGAGAGGGCGTGGGTGACGGCTCAGTGAGTAACAGTTTGTACAAAGAAAACGAGAGTAGCCACACCAAATAAACCAAACAGGACACGTCCCAGGGATTCAAAGATCAATTCATGAAGAACATACGAAATATACAGGAAGAAAGTCACAGAGTACATAAAAGCAAACTCTAACAAAACTGAGAAGAGAAAAAGACACTTCAAAACAGCAGCAGGGGCTGGAGAATGGCTCAGTGGCTAAGAACACTTGTGCGCAGGAGACTCGGGTTTGATTCCCAGCACCCACAGGGCAGCTCACAATCACCTTTAACTCCAGGGGATCTGACACCTTTTTCCTCCTAGGGCACCAGGCACAAACATGGCGCACAGACAAACGTGCAGACAAAACACTCAAATACTCAAAATAAATCCCCCCCAAAAGAAAACTAAACTTAAACAATATTAGCGGGAGGCGGGCATGACGGCTCGGCAGGTAAGGGCACTTTGCCCAATCAAGCATGATAACCTCAGCTCAAACCCCAGGGTCCACAAAGCAGAGAACCAACTCCAGCAAGCTGTTGTCTCAAAAAAAAAAAAAAAAAAGGAAGCCTAATCTCATCATGTCTGCTCCATACTGTGTTAACAGTTTCTAGCCTTGCAATAATGAAAATAAAAACTATAAGCATTGATGGTATCTAACACATCATATACTAATTTTTTAAAAGAACCTGCCGGACAGTGGTGGCGTGCGCCTTTAACACCAGCACTCGGGAAGCAGAGGCAGGTGGATCTCAGTGAGTTCAAGGCCAGCCTGGTCTACAGAGCGAGTTCAAGGAACCCTGTTTTGGAGGGAGGAAAAAAAAGCTGGCTTAAGAGATATAAAACTAGTGTTACTTATAATGGTATGACAATACACATAGGCAATGAGTCTGAAGGAACCTACCAAAATCTGTTCGATCATTTGGAAAAACAAAGATCTCTTCATCAAGATAGGAATAGCACTAAACACAAAGGAAAACACTGATGGAATGGAGAACAAATTCATGAACTTCTATTCACCAATGTGCTTTTCAGAAAGCAGCAAGCTGGGGGATGACAGATGCAGCACCTGACAGAGAACTCATTTCCCAGATACAGAACAGGGGCAGGAGATGCAGCTCTGTCACAGAGGGCAGACTTAATTCCTGTGAGCTCCTGGATTCAAAGCCCAGAACCAAACCACATAAACAAAACGAATTCCTACACAGCAATTAGAATGGCAAATATTCTCATGCTTTCCCCTACTCTGTCTCAAAAAAAAAATCATAATTTACCAAAGGTATCTAAATGACCAGCCAATAAGCATCAGAGATATTCAAACAAAATACAATGGCTATCACTAAACATCAACAGGAAGCCAAAAAGTCAAAGCAACAAACATACCAAGTAGGAATTACAATGTAAAATGATTAAAACCATCATAGTACAACTATTAACATACTGTTATTAACATACTGTTAAACTATTGGCAAAACATAGTAAAACCAAACACATGCCTACCTCCTAGGTAGATACTTAAGGAAAATTACTGCTTATGTACATACGAATGCACATAAGACTGTTAGTAGGTCCTTTCTTTATAACAGCCAAAAATATTAACAACCATAAGTGCTACTAATGGAACAGATACATTGTGGCTTTGAGGGGGGGTAGTTTTTTTTTTTTTTTTTTTTTTGAGACAGGGTTTCTCTGTGTAGCCCTGGATGTCCTGGAACTCATTCTGTAGACTGGGCTGGCCTCAGACTCAAGGAGATACACCTGCCTCTGCCTCCTGAGTGCTAGGATTAAAACCTACAACACTACCACCCAGCTGAATTGTGGCACTCTTATACAGTGATTGAATATAAAAATTACTGCTGACTCAACAATACGGGGTAATCAAAGAAGAAGCTAGGCAGAAATCAGAAGTCACTCTAATTTAGCTGAGCCTCAATGGTAGGTATAAAAATAATAATAATAACAGTAATAAAAACTTTCTTGACAAAACTTTAACTGCCAGGGCATGTAGCTTAGCAGCAAAAACACTCGACCAGCATGCATGAATGAGTTCCAAAACTCAACCCTCTACACATGTCAAACAAAAATCCAGTAACAAGATTAGCAGTGTCTTAGGAGTAAGGTGTGTAAGTTAACACAGGAGAACCTTGTAAGGTGCTACAAACATTCCCGTGTCTTCAACCTGAGGGTAAGTAAATTCACACATGCAGCCACACTTAAAGTTGGACTGTTATGCTTAGGAGTTATCATTTTTCAACACTGCAAAAATGAAAATATCAAGACATCCAAATAAGCCCGAGGAGGAAGGAGCTGAGTTCTTAGTGCTCTGTCACGATTATCCAATCACAGGATACGGTAGGCTATGAACACCCGGCACCATCAGATCAAGTCCTCCCTTATCTCCTACAAAGCAGCTGGGATCTGGCTCTTGCGTGCCCACAGATAATCTGTGTCCTCAAGCGTAACAGGGGCCCTTGGCATGTGTTCCTGATACGTGTGGCAAGTGAACTAATAAATACGCGAGCTCTGAAGTCACGGTTCACTTGCATATCGGATCGTTTCAAGGCTCAGGAAAAAAAATGTGATTAATAAAGACGTTTCCAATTTTATCATCATTCTCCACATCTGTGTCTCCTCCATCTCGGAGGACGCCACGGGTAATGTCATTTTTTTCCCCCTGGCAACAGGAGCGGAACTTCCTTCGACATGTGTGGACCCTGCTGCCTTTTTCACACGCTTCCCCTGATGCAAGAGTAGAACTGTCATGTTTTTCCGGCTTCAGATCAAACTGGGACTGTGCATAGTTGGCGACATGCTTGGGAACTGAGTTAAACAAGAGGAAAAACTCTGCTAACAAGAAACATAACAAAACAAACAAACAAAAAACAGAACCGTTTTCCCCATCGGCTGAAAACGTTGGGGGGGGGGCGCTAACAGAATAAAACCCTCATCCCTCTCTCCCCCCTTTTAAAATGAAGTCTGTGACTACACAGCAGCCAAAAACACACTAGCAAAAAAAAAAAAATCTAAACAACCACCACCCCGACGGCCGCGCGACCTACCTGCTCCAGCACCTCTAACCTCAGCTCGAGTTTGCTGAGAACCACGTCCCCGCCCCACAGGGAGAGCTGCAGATCCGAAGGCTTCAGGTTCCTGATGTAGCGATTCACGTAGCTCATGAGGATCGGGGTGACGTACGACTCCAGCATCCTCCAAGCTGGGGGTCAGGGGCGGACCCCGACGGAGACACGAACGCCCTCGGCGGGGAGAAGCGCACTTCCCAAGCCCAGCAGGGGCGGCGGAGGCCCGGCGAGCCTCCCCGCAGGCTCCTCCCGGAAGCGCTCGCCCCGCTAACCGCTCGGCTCACCTGGCCCCGGAGAGAGGCGGCGACGGACGGGGAGGCGAGGCCGCCGCGCTTCACTCGGGCCCTCCCGCAGCCCGGCCATAGATAGACGCCGAGCTGGCGTCCGGCTCGCTCCAGCCGAAGCCACGCACGCCACAGAGCGGCGGCTCGCGCCGCACCTCCGGGCACCTGGCCGCCGCCGCCGCCTCCTGCCGCGCCACTTCCGGGTGTGCCGGCTTCTCCGTCCGGCAGGGCTTCCTCCGCCGGAACCGTGACGCGGAGCGTCTGCCCCCGGGGGTGACTCCGGCTCGCTAGGCCCGCATCCCCGCCGCCGCCGCCGCCTCTGCCGCCGGGTTCTGGGTTCCGAGCGACCTCCAGGGGGCGGGGAGCGGAGCGGTAAAGCGGAGGCACCCGGAAGTGGTGCCGCTTGCTGCGGGGGCGGTAGCGGGCGAGCGCCCCGGGGCAGGCCGGGAGGCTGCGCGAGCCGACAGCCGGCGGGGGCCCGGGTATCGCAGGCACCGGGAGGCAGAAGCGGCGCTCTTCGTCCTTCGTCCTTCCCCCGGCACGGAAGACAGGCCCGGGGCTGCCGGGGGAACTGGGGTTAGTGGGGTGGAGGCGCGCGGCGGGTAGGAGGGGCTGAGTGGGGCGGGAGATTCAAATGCGCAGCCCGCGTGGGTTTGTTGGGGACGTGGCCGTGGGCACCGAGACCAGCCGTGTGCAGCTTGGAAGGACGCGCGTGGACCTAGCGTGTGCCTAGAGCTCGCACTTTCCCGTAGTCCTAGCGTGTGCCTAGAGCTCGCACTTTCCCTTAGACCTAGCGTGTGCCTGGAGCTCGCACTTAGACCTAGCGTGTGCCTAGAGCTCGCACTTTCCCTTAGACCTAGCGTGGGCCTAGAGCTCGCACTTTCCCTTAGACCTAGCGTGTGCCTGGAGCTCGCACTTAGACCTAGCGTGTGCCTAGAGCTCGCACTTTCCCGTAGACCTAGCGTGGGCCTAGAGCTCGCACTTTCCCTTAGACCTAGCGTGTGCCAAGAGCTCGCACTTTCCCGTAGTCCTAGCGTGTGCCTAGAGCTCGCACTTTCCCTTAGACCTAGCGTGTGCCTGGAGCTCGCACTTAGACCTAGCGTGTGCCTAGAGCTCGCACTTTCCCGTAGACCTAGCGTGTGCCTGGAGCTCGCACTTAGACCTAGCGTGTGCCTAGAGCTCGCACTTTCCCATAGACCTAACCTGTGCCTGGAGCTCGCACTTTTCCGTAGACCTAGCATGGGCCTAGAGCTCGCACTTTCCCGTAGACCTAGCATGGGCCTAGAGCTCGCACTTTCCCATAGACCTAACCTGTGCCTAGAGCTCGCACTTTCCAGTAGACCTATCGTGTGCCAAGAGCTCGCACTTAGACCTAGCGTGTGCCTAGAGCTCGCACTTTCCCGTAGACCTAACCTGTGCCTAGAGCTCGCACTTTTCCGTAGACCTAACCTGTGCCTAGAGCTCGCACTTTCCCGTAGACCTAACCTGTGCCTAGAGCTCGCACTTTCCAGTAGACCTATCGTGTGCCAAGAGCTCGCACTTAGACCTAGCGTGTGCCTAGAGCTCGCACTTTCCCGTAGACCTAACCTGTGCCTAGAGCTCGCACTTTTCCGTAGACCTAACCTGTGCCTAGAGCTCGCACTTTTTCCGTAGACCTAGCGTGTGCCTAAAGCTCGCACTTTCCCGTAGACCTAGCGTGTGCCTAGAGCTCGCACTTTTTCCGTAGACCTAGTGTGGGCCTAGAGCTCGCCCTTTCCCGTAGACCTAGCATGTGCCTGGAGCTCGCACTTTTTCCTCTCCTCTCTCAAAGCAGCGGTGAGATGGTCCCCAATTAGCAGGGATCCTGGTTAGCGAGTGCAGGTGCATGGGGTGGAGGACAGATGGTCAGAGAAGGTAACCACAGTCTGGTTTGGGGCTCCCCTAAGAGAGCTGAGGGGGTAGTATCAAAATAAACGAGAGCCCTGGGTCAACAGTGAAAATAACTGATCGGGAATAAGTTCCGTCGTAATTTTTTAAAAAGCAGCCCTCGAGAGAAAATTTTTTTAAAAAGCAGACCTCCGTGCACGACGGAGCCTGGGTAGAGGAGGTTTTTTGTTTGTTTGTTTGTTTGTTTTTCTTATTGGGCGAGAGTGAATGGGAAAAGGGGAAGAAAGGAGACCAGACTCTGGGGACAGGAGCAGCAGAAAAGAGAGAGAGAATCAAAGAAAGAGAAGGATGGGAGGTGGGCGGGGCCCTTTTAAAAGGGAACACAGTGAATGTGCACAGGCGCTGCCCTTAGTGGCTGCCGCTAAGGGTGCATCCTGTCAGAACCCCAAGGGCAGGTCAGTACAGCCGCCTGGATACTATCAAGGGCCGGAGTAGGTTATGTTATGTTGAAATAAATCTATAAAATGTAGTCACTTCTAGGCTAACAGCAGACACTCGAGCGTCTGCTTTGGAAGACACACACTGAGTGGATGGAAACAGCCCGGATATGTTGCCTTTTTTTTCTTTTTTGGTACCAGCATTTTACTCGTTTGACTTTGGAAAACTTCTGAAGAAAACATTGTGTCTTGAAAATAGTATTCCTTTATAGGTTTTTCACTCCTTTCTAAAACGCCTCTGAAATTTAAAAAAAAAATAAAAAATACTATTTCCTGAAAGAGAATTGGTGATTGCTATAAAAAAAAGAGAGAGAGAGAGATTTATGGGGATGCCAACATTTATTTTCATAGTGAAAATAATGTATTAGGTTTCACACGAAGAAAAGCAGCAAGCAATTGCTAATTCACAGCAGCTGCGTCCTCAGAAGCCTTAATAAATAACCATGTAATGTGAGTGTTATGAAAACTTAATTGGCAAAATAAACATTTTAAGTTACCTGCATCATTTGAACAGCAACTCGGTTGAAGCCATGACTGAGGAGTTTTAATATTGAAAAAAATATCCCACATTAGGGTAGTAGTGGCACATGCCCTTAATCCCAGCACTTGGGAGGCAGAGACAGTTGGATCTCTGTGAGTTTAAGACCAGCCTGGTCTACAGAGCGAGTTCCAATACAGGCTCCAAAGCTGCACAGAGAAACCCTGTCTCAGAAAAAAAAAATCCACTAAACATAGATGTGTGAGAATAAGCAGCAATAAAAGAGACTGATGTGTTTAGCAAGAAAAACTATGTGTAGACTGTGGGGGGGACCTATGTCCTGCCTCAAATGATGTGACAGGCTTTGATGAACCCCCCTGGGAGGTTTCACCCTCCCTGAGGATTGGATGAGAGTAGGATGGGGAGCTGGGGGAATGGGAGGACGGAAGGAAGAGGGAACTGGAATTTTTTATGTAAAATAGGATTTTTTAATTTAAATAAAAATTAATTAAAAAATAGTGTGTAGAATGCTAAACGTGGCATATTTCTTTTGTAGCCAGAAATCCGTGCCAAATCCCTAGGCTAAGAACATTATCTGGGCACATTTTGTTTGTAATGTCAAAAGTTAGTAGTTTCCAGCCTGTGTTCAGTTGCGCATTGCTGTATACACAGTTGAAATAAACTGAATCCTTTGCACTGATATTGACTGTCAAATGAGTAGTCTTCCCCAAATGGCCTCTACTCTTTCTCATGAGGTTCGCATGAGCACAAGACACTTTTGAAGTCTCTTTTGAAAGACTTGGGTAGGGAGTAGTTCTACAGGAGAGGCCTCGGTCTGCTTCTGAAGAGCGGGCCCTAAATGCAATGACAAGTATCTTTGCAACAGTATCATCCCTAAATGTAATGACAAGTGTCTTTGCAACAGTATCATCCCTAAATGTAATGACAAGTGTCTTTGCAACAGTAAGGCAAAGAACAGCAACAAATGCAGACTAGGAGCAGACGAGACAACGCTGGAGGTGAAGAACTGAATGACACAGGCGAAAGTCAAGGGATGCCAGGGACCACCAAGGCTGGAAAAGCGAAAACAGATTGTCCCCTAGAGTCCCCAAAATAATCCCGCTGACCCAGACCATTAAAGAAAAGACCCTGACCCAGAACCTCCTCCTCACCCTGGCCACGGAAGGAGCTCCTCAATTCATGGACTACATTAGACTATGAGAAGGTCATTAATTTTAACCTACATTTGGGTATAGTTTCTCACACAATGCATTTCAAAGGGTGAGGCTGAAGGTTTAAAGTTCTTAGCTACAACAGTGTCCTCCCACACATCCCCATCCCAAGTTATAGGATCCCACTCTTTACCAATCAATGCCCTTACGGGACCCGCTAGCACGTTCCGAAGCTGGGACTTGAATTTACACTGTAATTCAGCCAACCTTATAATGAAGACTTCAGTTTGGTTTTGTGCTACTTGGGCTCTGTGGCTGCTAGAGAGATTCTCTTCCGGGACACACTCAGAAATCTTTAAACTGTTTATGCTCATCTGGAGCTGGCAGATTTTATCCCTAAGTTCATTACCATCCTTTGTCGACGACGTATGCAGAGATGCTAAGAGCAACCAACCATCGTCATCATTTCCCTTCCTTTTTCCAAAATGGTCAAAAGTTTCATATACAGAGCCCATAAATCCCTTTGCCACCCACAATCAGTGAATCAAGAGAGAATCGAATGAGTTTATCTACTTAAGCTTGTAAAACAGTTCACACAGTGGGCTTTTAATCCTCTCTGAGCTCGCAGCAGAGTTACCAGTGACTAGACAGGCTGACTGTGAGTGCTAGCAGATTGAAAACCTAGTCCCAGATACTTAACAGACATGGTCATTACATTTCTGTTGCTCCAGAGGAACAGAACTTACAGAATTAATATATATATGTGTGTGTGTGTATTTATTAGGTATATGTGAATGTATATTAGAGTGAATGTATGTTCACAGAATGAACATATATATATGTATGTATATATATAATGAATAGATATATTAAAAATTACAAGCTGCAGTTTACCTAACCCAACAATGGCTGACTACGAACGCAAAGCCCAAGAATCCAGCGGTCGCTCAGTCCATGAGGCTGGGTGTCTCAGCCAGTCTTCAGTATGCACTAGAATTCCGAAGAAGCGGGCTCTAACTCCGGCGAAGGAATGGCCTTGCTAGCAAGGTGAGAGCAAGCAGGCAAAGAGCAAAGGCTCCCTCCTTCCGTGTCCTCATACAGGCTTCCAGCAGAGGAAAGTGTGGCCCGGATTAAAGGTGTGTCTTCCTAACCAGAGAGCTAGTTTAAAGG